AGTGAGGTCTGGTAAGCTCCCACCCGAATATGGCAACAGTACTCCATTTTCGACCTGATCTGGCTCTTATAAAAGTAAAGGATAGAATAAGGAGTCAGGTACTTACTGGAACGGTACAGGGAGCCGATCATTTTACCTGCATCTTTAGCGATGGATCCTATATAAGAGTTCCACTTGAGGTCGGTGTGAGTTTGAAACCCAATATTGTCTCAAAGCACGCGGCCTCCTCGAGGGGACATCCGTTCGTCAGGACTGGCAGTAGTTTGGGGATCTGATCGGCGGTGATGGAATACAACTAGTTTGGCTTTCGATGTATTTAATGTAACCAGCCAGATTTTCCTCACTGGGAAGTTAGTGTTAGATCAAAAGAGAGGTCATCTCTGATCGTCATGATTTTTTAGAGGTGCGCCTGTATATCGCCGCATCATCGGCATAGACGTTTACAAATGATAGAATATATTCTTAGGTAGATAAATGATGTAAATCAGAAAGACGGATGGTCAAAGTGGTGACCCCTGATGGAGGACTGCTTTGACCGCCAGGACCTCGGAGGACTGGCCGCTAATACCTACCCTCAGGGTAGATACCTACCTGTTATTTCTACCTGTTAGAAAGGATTTCTAGTGATTCCATAGCTGAAGAGCTTGTGTAGCAAACCTTTGTGTCACACCTTTTCAAAAGCCTTCAAGATATCTAATGCTATAGTCCTTGTGGTATGAGTGCCGACAAGGCCTCACTAATTCTGTGTGTAATGGTAGTTAGGACATCAGCAGTGGATCGGGTTGATCGAAACCCATACTGTTCGTCGCACAAGAGATTGTTCCTTTCAATTTGCTCGACGACCTTGTTGATTATGGCGTTAAAAATCTTACTGATGATACTAAGGAGACTAATGAGTCCATAGTGGGATGGGAGGATCGGTTTCCCGCGTTCTTGAATTCCGGGTATACGCTTGCCACCTTCCACATGCTTGGGAAAGATTTCTCCTTCAATAACTTTTCTAAAACCGGGGTTAATTCTGGGTTGATATTCTTAAGGACGGTCACTGTAATTTTGTCTGGGCCTGTGGATTTTTGGGAGTCTAGAGACTTCTCTTACTGAAATGAATAGTTTACTGAGATTGTGCTACCTTCAATATATGTAGAAGGCGATGAAAATGAATGACATACGACAATGTTTAATGCAAAAGGCAATTTATTTTCTACTATGTGCCATGTTCATTCAGGGCGTTGGCGATCATGGCGCTCCACAATTTCCTGTCCTTTGTAACGCTTAGTAAGTTTTTTTTTTGCTATCTCTCCTAAACCCTGTTCTGCCATCCATTTACACAAGCTCTCTAGACAGGTTATACACTGCTTTGCCACTGTTTCTCTCGACTATATCCCGTGAGTATCAAATTTTCCAAGCACTCTTTCCTCATTATGTTCCCTAGAAATTCCAACTCACTTTTTCTGATGTTTATGTATCAATGCTATTTTTCTTTCCATTTCACTAAAACTTTATTACTGCTCACATGTTCAGTCGATGGAATTCTCAGCATCCTTCTGTAGAACCACATTTCTGTTGCCTCAAGTCTCTTCTTCATCTGTGATGAGATTGTCAGTACTCTTTTCTTTGTTTCTAACGAAATTTTTCCCGTTTGTTAATACTTTGCTTAGCTTTTGGAAAGCATCTTTCTCCATTCCATTGTGTTTTCTAATTTCCGTGTAACATTTTGCATCGTCTGTTAAAAAAAAATACGTTTTGGAACTTTCTTGATTCTGGTGCTTCAAATTGGTAGTTCGAATTTTAGGCTGTTCCTTTTGGTAACAACGATATATCCTTCCTTCAAAACTAGACAGGTAGAATATACAAAGCGGCAAATAGAAGCGTGTATATTAATATGTCCTTATTCAAACGTATGGAGTGTAAAGTGAAGGTGTTGAGAGACATATTGGTGAAGAGTTACAGGTTGATTTGGTGGTTTTCAGCTTAAGGCATTTGTAGGATTTGTGGTGTACAATCCGACACGCGGTTCGCTGGTGACTAAGAAATCCCCCAGATAACGAACACGAGACACATCTTGATCCTCTGGCATGTAAGTGAACACATCAACCAAAATTCGAACTCTGTCGATTCTATTCGCTCTACTGAAAATTGCTATGCGACATCTCACCTACATTTAGTGGAATGCAAAAGAGATGTAGATTCATGACTTCCCTAACTGTATTAGTACTAAGTGAACATCAGCAGCCTCAGCCGTCATTCGAACTCGGTTCGCCGATTCCGTTCTTCTTTTGCCAAACTAAGTAAATATTGGGTTGGTGTATAATTATCAGGCGTTTTTAAACAATTTTTATTATGAAAAAAGAAACGTAACAATTCAACAATAAGATTTTTAAATGATTATTCCGGAGCGTATGATTATTGGCACGCATTTTTATAAATTTTAAATATAAAATAATATTTTTATTAAAAAACGTAAATTTTTATTAACAAATAACTCGCCTACAAAAGCGCT